TCAGGGGTAGAATACAAATCTCAAAAGCCTCGGACTGCATTTGGTAGCGGTTAGCACCAGTTGGCAGGGATGAGGAATGTGCAAGGATGCAGAGATGCTTTCTTTATTGGATTTGAAAGGAATAACAATAAGACCAGTCCTATAAAAAGGAATTAGTGTGTATAATATAAAGCTTGTAAGAGAGCATTAGGTTCTGCGTGATAGGTTATCAAAGCCCTCAACGGTAGAACAGATGGGCCTGAGTTCCCCATCATTAATCATGGAATGATTTTCAGCACGTTAAAAAAAAATGAGTGTGAGAAGGATGGCCAAGATTCCACAAGCTAAAAGCAAAGGTGAACAGTGTCCCCAATCATGTTGAAGGCTGGAGTGCATTATATTCAGAAATACAAAATGAATGTGGTAGGTAAGAAGAGAGCTGTAGAGGAGAAGGTGTTTTGGGAGAAGGAAAGTGGGTATGATGAGAAAAGGAGAATGCACCCTCATCAAGAAGGAAAGCCTTTTGTTAAAGGACCGTGTTCCATGTTACATCCATATTTAGGGTGAAACCTGGTCACATCACAGCCACATTGTCCATTCACAGATCCTTTTATAGGACCGCAGCACCGCCACCGCAGCAGAGGTACTCCTAGTTCTCAATGGTGATGTCACCGCACTTGTAGTCCATTCATACTTGCTCCTGTCCCTTAGCTGAAAGTTCATACCTCTGTACGTACCTGGGGCTGGGAGGAATGGTCTGCAGAAGCCAGAGCATTGCACTTGCAATTCACTGATCGCAGTTGCCATACTGGCTCCAATGCAAAATCATAATACATAAGTAAATAGTATGTTTAAATGCAAATTTATGAAAGCATACATTTGTTACCTTTTTGAAAAGATGGACTTTGCCTTTTAAGTATTCTTTTCGCCCTAAGCCCATTCACACCTGAGCGCTTTTGGGCGATTTTGAAACTTTTTCCTTTTTTTTTCATGCGTTTTTAGGCTTGAACAGTTTTGCTTTAGCCAATGGAAAGCTAGTTACTAGGAAGAGGACAGCGGTCCTTTTTTATTCACCATATGGCTTTCTGCCTCTTTATTTTAAGAAGATCTAGCATCAGATATGTTTTCATGTTGTCGACTTCTTGTCCCGGAGACGCAGCAGGAACTAAGCTTTCCAAAAGCGAGGGCATGTCTCTTCTTAGGTGGTTGTCACCATGACAAGATTTTCCTCTGTCCCTGTCTTAGTGACACCTCACAACTTGGATTTCCCATCGCTTCCCGGTGACATGGGTGATGAATCTCCCTATATAGACAGCAATATAAACCAAACAGTTCTAACCTGTCCATGATTTATACCAAACTAGGGAAACAAATTGTCTTGTATACCCTTTAAAAGAGGAGCTGAAGGATAGCTGAAGAGAATGTAAATCTTGAAAGAACAGGATGCCTAAGGCTTATTTACACTATTGCAGTAACGTGGCAATGCATATTCTATGCATTGGTGAGATACGGTGATATTTGATTATAAATGACACCCCAACACACCTTGCTGGTGGACATGCCCTGGCAGAAACACAGCATGCCTTTCTTTTGGTAAAGGGGGCAGCCAAATTCCAATTAAAGGACTGGCTTAATGCAGTGCACCATAATGCGGCCCGAAGACAGCAGCACTTCAGCCTGTTACATTTATAAGGTTTTTCTTACATCTAACAGGGACCATAAGCACTCCCCTTAGGGCTCATTCACACCAAAACCCATTACTGAACATTGATGTGTGCTGACATTCGTCTTAAAGAATAAGTGCACTATCAGACACTTATTCTTCTTGCCCCCCCTCCCCTAACCAACAATCCCAACCGTCACTCTCTGCAGATCCTATTCATACTAAGGGTCACCTCTCTGCTGTTTTTTTGACATTCAGCGCTGCAAGTCTCCCTCTCCCGGCCGCGTCCATTTTCTGACTGGCAGAAGAAAGGATCCTTGCTGCACACCTTACCGGGATTCCCATGTGGATATACCAGTGGGTGCTCGGAATGACTGTGGATGGCGCCGCCACATGCAGATAGTTGAAGAACGTCACCAGCATCTTCTGGCTGGGAGACTAGAAGCCTGTAGGGCTGTAATGTGCAGGTGCGGCCAGCAGAGGGAGCACTATGCTGCTGGATGTAAACAATGGCACAACCATGCCTGTTTGATCTCGGAAAGTACAGTTCTGCTGAGGGGGTGGGTGGGATGGTTTTGGTCGGGCTTAAAAGGCAAAAAAAAAAAGATAAGTACAGTGTTTTAAAGTGCACTTCTCTTCACTTTTTAATGCATGACATTTTTTATTGACTTCATTTCAGTTAGCTTGAAAAATTCTTATCAACACTTTACTATAACAAGCAAGACCCACAGCAGGCATTCAGATAGGGACTTGAGACTTGTTTTTCCACTTTCCTGATCTGCAAACTAGTTCCAGATCATTGATTTAGACCCCGTTCACACCTAGGCGTTTTGTATCTGAACACTGAAACACTCTAGACAGGAAATTCCATTTATTTCTATAGCCCTTGCTTACACCTGAGCACAGAAAAATGCCTGTCCCTCGAAAAAGTATGAGCTTTTTTAATTTTTATTTATTTTTTGGCAGATTACAGCGCGTTTCGTCCCTACAGACAAAATAGGAAACGCGTGATGGAACAATTTTTGCTCGTAAAAACACACAACTTGGTGTACGAGCATAAAAATGTGCAGGGAAAACGTCCGCAGATAAGCACAAAAACACTGTCACCTACATGTAAACGGGCCGTAGAAGGTGGTAAAGCAGAGGCGTAGCAGAGCAAGGAGGTTAGTGTGGCGGACCCTGTGCTACTTTCATGACAGCTTTACTTTGAATGAGGCTGCAGCATTCTGAATCTGTATAATTTCTCTCGTCTATACATTCTCCTACAGGGATAATGCTGCATAATGCATGACAATGCGTGCCTGTGAATTCCTTATGTTTTTCCCAAGGGGTTTCCAAGAACACCTGTTCTATAGAAAAATGTATGTAAATGAAATGCCAAATGAAAATGTAATTTCAGGACCGCGAGGAGACCGTTTTTAGCCTAAACAAGAGGGAGGAGCATCTGAGTCGTCAGTTATTTTAATCATAAAGCTGCTTTACCATAACTCATTTATAATGTGACCTTGGTGCAGGATATAATGGCAGCCCGCATTTACTGAGGAATTATGACTGTTTGTTAGTGTATGAACAGAAATCATCTGGTTGGTTGGGCTGGATGGAAATTATTTTCAGATATTGGCCTATCCACTTAAAAAAGTATTCCAGGGATATGGAAAGTTAACCCTTGCAGTGGGGGCTAACCCTCCCCGCACTTCAAGGGTTAAGTGCTCATTTTGGTCTAGGGTCTAAATAAATTTAAAAAAAGATATACCCACCCTATCCTCCATCCTGCCTGACTGCTAGACCAGTCCCTGCAGCTTCTCTTTCCCCCTCTGCTCCGGCGGTCTGAGGTCCTGTGAGTCATCATGTGATGTGTTTTTATATAGTGGTTTTTGCCGGGTCAGCAGGCAGAGAGAGACCAGCATGTTTTGCAGCATGTTCCGTGTTTGTTTTGAGATGATGGAATGAGATCTTGATTTCGCCTAATCTCTGCTACTTTGTGTAGCCACTTAATAATAATAATAATATCATCATCCAAGAATTATATAGCCCAACATTTTGCGCAGTGCTTTACAATATAAGGAAGACATTACAATCCCAATACAATTCAAGTCAAGATGATAAGGAGGGTCCTGCCCCTGAGGGCTTACAATCTGAAAGGGAGGGGCCAGTGATACATGGGGTTGAATTGTTGGAGAATATGACTCTAAAAGGAAGGGGGGGGGTCCTGGCACTTTATGGGGATACAGGCCATGGTGGTATTGAATAAGTGTCTGTGAATGGATTTACGATACGTTTTAATGGGGATGGAGGTGCTGTGCAGAAGGAATAATATACCAACATTGTATTCCAAACAAGAATTTGCCCACATGTGCACAGGTACTTTATGATGTGAGAATTCCCCTCCGTAATGTACAGTTGGAAGTATCCTTGCATGTAGTAATTGTAGAGGTAAATTGAGCAGTGCACCATTGGCCGGATAAGCTATGTGGACCGTTAACATTTTATTACCATGTTTTTCATTATTGTCAGCAGTGTACTTTATGACCCACTCACGGGCAGTGCACCATGGACTATGTGGACTGTAAGCATTTCATTTGCCATGTTTTTCATGATTGCCAGCAGTGTACTTCATAAACAGTGACACATTGGCCGACAGTGCACCATTGACCGGATAAGCTATGTGGACTGTTAACATTTCATTGCTATGTTTTCCATTATAGCCAGCAAGGTACTTCATAAATGGTGACACATTCAAGTAGAACTGGAGGTATTACAATCTGTGCGTAGGACTCGCTTTCTGTCGGGTGGTATCTTCGTTATAAAGCAGGAGTGAATCCAGATTAGGTGTCATTTTTGCCCTGCCTTCTAGTGGTAAAGGGAGCTGACACTCCATTCCACTGCCCAGTCATAGGAAAGCAGATTTGTATTTAACATGTATTGACTCCTTTCTAAATTAGCCCTGGTATGTGTATGTATGCATGTGTGATTTAGATTGTAAGCTCCTTGCCAATCTTGGATCTTTCTATTCCTTCCAATCTTTCCTGTTTTTTTTTTTGTCTAGTATGATCGCTTTTATGATCTATGTCTTTTTATGGTGCAGACGCACGACTAAAGCAACGTTTTTAGCATGCGGACTAGCAGAGATATGTGCCTGTTTTATTACTGGTTGCCTGCATCTGAAACTGTATTGGTCTTGTCTTAAAAATGTATATTTCAATAAAAATTGGATATTTAAAAAAAAAATTGTAAGCTCCTTGAGGACATTGACTGATGTTAATGTACAATATGTAAAACCGCTGCGTGCCTTGTCATCTATATAAACCTCTGTAACGGATTGAGCTTTATTTACTAAATGTTTCCTTTTATCTTTTAGCTGAAGCTGGAGGATCGTTCTTTGGTGCCCAGAGATGTTGTACGCCGAACTGGCACAAAGGTAACATACTGTGCCCTGTGGGGGACTACGTGTGCCATTTCTCATCGCTGATTTACTTGAAGCAAGATTTTCATCAGATGTCACATGAGAAGCAAGATTTTTTGTATAAGATCTCACATGAGCTAACAACAGCAAACACACGTCATGCATTCATCCTCAGTCACATTCACTCTGCACATGTGGCTGTAATACATGTAGCTATCCACCAGCCTATCCCCCCATCCTGATATTGTCTTACAAATAGCTTTCCTGTTCCATGATACCGTCCAATCCTTCAGGTTGTCTCTACAGAAAATGTGGGTTTTCCTTCCTCATTTAGCAGAGGGAGCTCTGTACCAGCAGCTATGTCCATCTAGTTCCACACATCTCTAGCAAAAGATAGATTGCTTCTTCCTTCCTGGCAAGACATCTTCAGGCTTCTGACTGAGTGGAGCCACAAGGGTAATGGTCTCAACTTCCCTATATTAAATGGAGGCTCAACATGATGGGATTCAAGAACGGGGAACTGCAAGGATTTGATGGAAACAGGCAGGTTAACACAGGCCCCTGTGGGACAAAGGGCTTTGGGTAGCTACACATATTAACCCCTCTTAAAAAAGTGACTTTTTTTTTTTTCTCTTTCCATTCGTTTGATTCTGAAACTTTGTTGATCTCTCTTAGGACAGTCAATGTGGCACGGTTGTCGACGTAAATATAGACTGCATGGTGAAACTGGTGGGAACCAACTGCTTCCTGCACCCAGTCAGCAGCAAAGATCTACAGCACATTTGGGTAAGATGTCACTCGGCATGCAACAGAGAAGTGCAAAAAGAGACCAGCAATAATCTTATTTAGTATGCATATTAATTTGTTTCTGTAAGAGCCACATCAGCAGGGCTATTCAAACTCGAAAAGGAAAATGTTGAAATAATATTACAGTAATCAATTCACTATGAAATCATCAAAGGTAAACTCAAGCAAATAGGTGTTATACATTTGAAATATATGAGCAGTAGGGATGCATCGATACCATTTTTTCCAGACCGAGTACTGATGCTTTTCCTCAAGTACTCGCTGATACCAATTACCAATACCTTTTTTCTTTTTTGTGTCATGTGGCATTTTGTTTTTAAATAATACAGATTAATGATTTTAGGACAGTGATGAACTGCCAAGGCCCAGTCGCAGCTGGGACCGCTCGGACCCTGGTATTTCTGCCACAGACTTCAAGCTGTAGAGGGACTACAAATCTCAGTAATACATTATATAGCAATACAGAATGGCACTGGCTATAGAAAACTACAAATCCCAGCAATACATTATACTGCAATGTAGTAGTATATGAATTTGCTACATACTTTGTGCTGCTGCTCTGTTCCGGGGTGGCCGGCTTATTGTCTTGGGCTGAGGGTCTCAGCAGGGGGAGATGAGGAGGGTCACGGCAGGGGGGATGAGGAGGGTCTCGGCAGGGGGAGATGAGGAGGGTCTCGGCAGGGGGAGATGTGCGGGCAGCAGGTTGAGATGGTTCCCCAGAAGGCTTCCTGCTAAGTCCCAGCAAGCGCGGGACTTCAGGAAGCTGAATCAATTTTAAAAAAAAGTACGAGTACTCGTGACAATGCCCAGTATCGGCACGGATATCGATACTGTTATCAGTGCGTCCCTAATGAGCAGTTTTACCTGCCAAAGGGATTTGCAATTCCGTACAGCTAGTCTTGTGATTTGCACTTCTATTCTGCACTGCACAACCAGACTGATGACACACTTTAGATTTTGCAATTTAGCTCCCAGGTTCAGCAATTTAAGCTTAGCTTCAATGCTGAGGGGTCTATTTATTAAGAACATTTGCTTATTCGTCCAGCAAAACTGTTTATTGGAATGGAGCAAAAGCAAATGTTCTTGGTGTACTTTCTCTTCCAGTCGAATGTTCATCAATTGGTATATTCATAAAGAACAGCGTGAATGGGAAAATGACAATGTTATGGCCACTAGATAAAGCTGAGGATCATTGAAAATACATACATGTTGATGCAATGTTACAATTTAAGAGACCGCTGAAGGGAATGGGCATATAAATGTAACCGTTGAAACTGTGGGTACAGCAATGGTTATATTTAGATGCTGATTCCCTCCAGTGGCCTCTTGAATTGTAACATTGTAGCGCCTAAAACCATTTTTCCTATATTACTCAGCTCCATCTAGTGGCCATAATGCTGTGGTTTTCATAGTCACTCTGTTCTTTATGAATATATCAAAGCTATGCATTTTTTTCAATAGACCCATAAGCGTTGTAAGTTTTAGAACTCTCCTGAATTCAGCGGGTATAGGTAGATTTAGGAGACTTCTGCCGGTATAGACATACCTGCACTTCATACCTGCAGTAGCTTGCCCCCTACCCCTGTGACAGATCCTCTTTAATGGGTCTTTTTTGGCCATTGGGTGACACCAGAAAATAGCGGTGTTACTGGTAAGCCTTCTTCAGTCTCATGATAACGGGAACTTAAAACATGACCAGCTCTAACCTATTCATCATTACTTTGGATCTGCCTAGCCCACCCCCTGTGCCGCACAGTCGGCAGCATCATCCGCTAAACTTTCATAGCATGTGGCCAAGCACGTTGCAAAGTTTGCTAAATTTTGTAACCTTGTGTCTGCTCTCATGTTATGTTACCATAATGAAGTCTGACAGCAAAAATAGACGGAACTCTGGTTGTTCCTGCCCTTTTGAGTTCCCTTTGCTTTTTGCTTTATTATATGCCTTGAAGTGCTTACTTGTACTCAGAGGTGAAGATAGTTGGAGAAGTCTTTTGGTGAATCCAAGTCTAACCTTCCGTTTTCCCTTTTTTTCAGCCTATCATGTATGGAGATTATATTGCCTACGACTGCTGGTTAGGAAAGGTCTATGATCTCAAGAACCAAGTTATCTTAAAGCTGTCAAATGGATCCAGGTACTGCTATATTTCAATCAGTGCTTGAAGAGCACTACAGCATTGCAATAATGACATGTAATGGTGTATTTTCTATATAAATGGTTATGTTTTCATCATGATATGAATTACTGTATTTTCTATTCATTACGTCTTCTTGTCCTTCCTCTACTGCTGCAGATGTTCAATGAGCACAGAAGATGCTTCTAAATTATATGATGTTTGCCCCCATGCAAGTGATTCGGTGGGTACTATATGGGTATATGTTAAATAAATCAAGTGTATGTGTATACACACACACACACATACATACATACATATGTATGTATGTGTAT